TTAGATAATGATTAGAGCTGAGAAAGGTGTGTTATGATGCACATTAGAAGAAATTTATGAAAGGTGTTTGACTTAGTGTCTTCCTTCAGAAGAAATGTAAGAAGGCAATAAGCTCTTTTACAGAATAAAGTAGGTGAGACAGTAGGAGCTGGATCTGCTGACAAAGAAAAAGGGAGCTAAGTGATCAAAGAGATTTCAATAGCAGCTGAACAGTACATCATAGACCTGTGGATCTGAAATAGAAGCAGCAGCTGAAATATTCAGTATTCAGAAAATATCCAGAGGTAACATTAGAAATGATCATTGGAAGCCATAGAGGCAAGTAAGGAAGCAATGGAGATTTGGAAGACAGCTGGGAGGGAGATTACTGGAGCTGTGTGGAAGTTGGGTATATCGAGGGGAATTTGAAAGCTGTGGGTGGCCCAGATCATGATGAAAATGGTAAGTTACTGAGCACTAGGAACAACTATAGGGGGTTTATGACAAAATTTTATGCTTTCTCAGTAGGATTATTCATTTAACAACTTTTTATGTTTTTATACTTGCAGGATAGAACAAGCTTTGGAAGAACCAGATCAGCATTTGAAAACAATAGAATCACAGGTCTCAAAATGCAGAGATAATATGTTTGGACAGATGTGACTGTAATGCTGTCAGCTGCTGCTATTCCATATCAAGGCCTCTAATAGTAGCTGTTTATTCTTCAAGTCAAAACGCTTGAAGACATGTGATTAGAGGCAAATATTAGGTTTTTTTTTTTTTTTTTTTTTTAAGGGAGATTCTGAGAAAATCTTGAAATCATCACTCAAATGTACACCAACAGTTACAAATACACACAACAAAAATAGCCTGAAACTGTTTATTTTAAATCAGATTTTTCATGATCAACTCTTTCAAGACCGGAGCCACGATTTGCTAACATTGGATAATTAAATGATGTAACTGAGGGCAGAAACTGGTCAATGGATTCTTTTACAAATTATGACTGTGAAAGGAAGGAATGAAGCACCTTGATATTCAGATTGTATTTCCACGGATCCAACAGGGATTTTGTCAGTGCTTTTAAAAGGCTGATTTTTTTTCCCAACTGATTTTTTCTCTCATAAAGATATTTTTTAATCAGAAAGAGAAAAAAACCAGTCAGAAGTCATTGTGACACAAAAACTACAAAAGCCCTGATTTACTTTGACATTTTTTCAGGGTGTAACAATTTTTAGTATGGGAACTGGAAGGAGAATCATAGAGCAAGCTGTACGGTATGATTTGCAAAACCGTACTGCAGAGAAAGCAAGATGGGCAGAAATTTTTCAGTTTTATGTAAATCAAAGTCTCTTGGTAGTCCAATTTCTGCTTCTGATATTTAAAAGTCTCTTATTTTTCCTTGGCTCTCATACCTTTGCTGGAATTGCTTTCTGTTGCAGGAGCAGAATTACATATGCTTTCTCAGGTCAAGCTGACTCATAGTTGTTTCACTCTTTGTCCTGGCTAAATTGACCAATACTTACTGACAACTTGTTACCAGAAAACAGCATTTTCTTGTTCTTTGCTGATTATTACATCCTATGTCGGGCATAACTGTTTCTAACCACAATGTGATGATAAAAGGAAGAAAGCAATTTCCTCTTGAAAGTTTTACTTTCTGCTGTTAGGCAGGTATTTTCCTTATTGTTCTCATTGAATCAAAAAAATGATTTTTTTTTTTCTCTAGAATAGTAGAAAGCTTCAAGTGAGGATGGCACTAACTTTTGAATTCTGGCCTACTGTTTTAGTCTATCACGACCAAAGGAAAGATAATCATACTCAGCATGTCAATCAGCATTATTTCTTTTGTATTACAGCCTCCACAGCTAGTTTTAATGACTGCAGTTTCTATATTGTAGTTACTGAATAAACACTAATTAGCTGTTGGGCACAAAAGTCTTAGTAGACTGAAAAGAATTGTCTGGGCATCCTACTAAGCCAGCAAATAATGGAATATGTACTAAATGTGAGGACAAGAGTTTTAACTGGTAACCTTACGAAAAAAAAAAGGGAGTAGGTCATGACAATCACCAAGTTCATTATAAGGTTCAGTACTGAGAAACATATATTAAAAAAACTCTAGGCAGGCCAAGTTGTTTTCTTTTTCTGATTTTACAGTCCATTTTAAAAGTTCTGGTGTTGTTTTGAGTCAACAATGAAGTATGGTTTCCCTTTATTATATTATTTTGAAGTTAAATTGCCCTTTTCTGTCTAGCAATGCTTTTTGTTCTGATAATCCTGAGGTCATAGAAGCAAATTTTCTTTTTCACAGATTTGAAACCTGCAGTCTTAATGGAACCTGAGATGTCCTGTCATAGAAGCTAAAGACTTTAGAATAACCAGTATTAAAAATCACAACAAAATCAGGACAGTGGACAAAATTTAGAGTTGCAAGTAACTTAGAATAAAATGTAGCCTGCAAAATTAGATGTTAAAGAGGATGTATGAACTGGATGAATCACAGGTTTAACCTTGAGATGCTTTTATGAGCCTACAGTGCTGACAGTTAAACAAATTTCTTTTTCATTGCATAAAGAGAAAATACAAAGAGGACAAAGGGTGAGTGGGCCACTAAACAGTTATCATATACTGAGGTATTAGCAATGTATCAAACACTGGAATAAATTCTGGAATTATGCTGTGGTAAATCACAATACTTATTTTTCCCATTCTTGTCCATAAGCTGCATCCCTTGTTTATATTGCCTCTGCAATGACGTGATACTTAGCAAGAAGTGTCTATGATTTGTGCAAGTATATAGACCACCAGAGAATGGGAATGACAGCAACGCAAAACTATTAGTCCCTAACTCCCCAACCCAAACCATTTACTACCCAGCTGTTGAATAAAACATTTGATTTGGGACATAAACTTGCTTTGTTTGGATTTTTATTTTTGTAAATTGAGAAAGTTCCTTACTGGAATTCAGTGTTCAGTTGAAAAATTACTGATGGGACTTTTTGAGCAGCTCTAAAACTGTCTGTTCTAGTGAACTATGCAACACGGGTGTTTTTTTAGTCATGGATTATCCTGCTGACAGAACAATATTAAACATGTGTTCAAGACCTTGCTCCTTGAGGCAAAGGTTTGCTTAAGGCAGGAAAACTGAGAAAGTTCTGAAGTCACTTATCCAATACAATTTATTTATTTGTATACGTACAACCTAAAACAGCTCACCTGAAAGCTAAGATCTTTTTGTCTTTGTCAATTTTCAGACAGCAGTTTGCTTGTGAGCTTATTTCTAAGCAACAATCGATAAAAACATGTTAGTGGAAAATGAACAGTGTGTATATAGAATCGGTCGTGGGTTATTTAAGGACAGCTCTGGTAAGTAAAACTAGTTAGATACAGATCTAACTAAACGCATACCTACCTACAGCTGTATTCGGCAATTGCTTTTTTTAGGTGACGGTGTCACCTGAACCACATATTCCCATAGCTGAGTTCACGTGAGGATCTTCCCTTCGTGCCTCTCTTCAAGTGCGGGAGCGAAGCGCGGGCAGAGCTCTGCACGCCTAAGGCACAGCCCGGCCGAACGCTGCTCCAGAGGCAGGACAGCAGATGGGGGGTCACCTGGGCTTGGGGCTCGGGACGTGGAAGAAGAAGAGGAGGAGGACCAGGAGGACCAGGAGGACCAGGAGGGTCAGGGCCCCCCCGAACGCCCCCCCGTGGCCGCTGGGGCCGCCGGCGTTACCTGTGCCCCGCGGCGCCCCCGGCTCGCCCCGCCCCGGTCCCTCCCGCTCCGGGCGGCGGGGCGGGGGCGGGCCCGCACCGCGGCTATTTGGCCCCGCACCGCGGTGCCCGCGCTCCTCTGTCGCTCTCGCCGCAGCCCGGACCTCGCCCGCCGGCCCGCGCTCGCCCCCGCCATGCCCAACATCGTGCTGTTCAGCGGCAGCTCCCACCACGACCTGTCCCAGCGGGTGGCGGACCGGCTCGGGCTGGAGCTGGGCAAGGTGGTCACCAAGAAATTCAGCAACCAGGAGACCAGGTGCGTCCCCGACCTCCTCTCGCCGCGTTACCCGCACTCACGCCCCGCCGGCGTCACGGGCGCGCCCTGGACACACCCCCGTGGCCGGGCTGCTGCTGCCGGCGGGTCCCGCCCCGGTGTCACCCCCGGGTCTCGCGTGTGGGTGTCCTCCGGCAGGTGCAGATGCAGACGCGGGGACCCGGGGTGGTCCGGTGTGTCATGGCCGGTCCCTTCCTGGTTGCCCCACTCTCCCTGACCGCCTGCGGAGCACGAGCACCGCACGGGAGGCGTCCCGGCTGGCTTGTGCTGGCCCGGCTGGGCAGTGCTCCCATCGGGTGCTCTTAGGCCGGAGCAGGGCTTGCACGGCCTCGGCCGGGCAAAGAGCATCCTACCTCCTGTGAGGTGAGGATGGTGTTTGCAACAGGTGCATCCCACTGCTCGCAGATAGTTAACTCTGTGGCTGATCAACTTTGTCTACCCGAAAAAAAATCATCTTGATTTTATGACCTACAGTATGTTATGTAGTTTTGTAAGGACAGGATGGTGATGACACTTTAAAAAGGGCAAATCACACTTGCAGAATTTGTCGCAGCCGGTCGTTATTTTGCTTCAGCAGCCAGTTGTGTGTGTGGTGGACCAATTACAGCTCCCGTATGGCTTCCCTCCATAGCCCAAGACTGATGGTCATGCATGAGGGTAATACAGTTGTTGTGATGGCCTTGGCTTACTCCTAAAAGTACTCGGTTGGTTAACCGTGGCCAACGGGCATCTTCTGATGTGGTCAAACAAAGTTTAAGAGACAAAGGCATACACCTGCCTTCAAAGGTGTACCCAAATTGACACTCGCATGCTGGAACATCAGAACCATGCTCAATTCTGTGGATAGCAGACATCCTGAGCGTCGTTCTGCCCTAATTGCCCGCGAACTGTCGCGTCTCAACATCGACATTGCTGCTCTCAGTGAAGTTCGTCTCCACGAGGAAGGCAGCCTTAGAGAACGTGGTGCCGGTTACATACTCTTTTGGTCAGGCAAGCCCAGAACCAAAAGGCATGTCTCAGGAGTTGGCTTCATGATTAAAAACTCTATTGTCCCTAAACTTGAAAATCTGCCTACAGGTCACTGTGACCACATTATCTCCTTATGCCTTCCACTACACAACAAGCAACACGTTGTCCTCTTTAGTATATATGCCCCAACTCTCCAAGCTGACCCCGCTGAAAAAGATAAATTTTATACTGACCTGCGCCGCCTTACCCGAAAGGTTCCCGCAGATGATAAGATCATTAAATTTTATACCAATTCCTAAAAGTGCAGTCATACCATGCTCCTGGCCAGCCAAATGCAGAAAATAACTCTGGCAACAGTGCAAAAAATTCTGCATGAAGCTATCAGGATAGCTTGCTCACCTGGACTCTCTGAGAATGTGCTTGCCAGTGCTTTTTCTACCAGTGTTATCTCTCTTTACTAGTTTGTCATCTTAGCTTTCTGACCCACCTATTTTGCTCAATTTTAATGAAGAATTTTAAATTCAGGTGAAAGTGGTACATTCATCCCATGAACTGTGCAGCTGTTTTCTATATAGATGTGTCAGTCTAGGCTGCCAGCTTAGACTGAAACACAACTTTCTGACTATAAGTAGCTGACTAGTTTCTGAAGTTCTTGTATGTTTATTTTTATCTGTTCTTGTTCTGAAACTCCTGAAAAAGTGTGTTTCCATTGCTTCCTTTGAGAGATTAACATGATGTATTCTAAAGTTGCTCTCACAAAGCTTGTCCTTCTCTTCTGTCTACATTTTTGCATTCTCAGTTTAATTGCTCTTGTTCTAGTTATGCTCACTGGCATTACTATAAACCCTCTTCCATTCGTGTTTATGCAACCTAATGTTTGCACACTCTAGCTCTTCTATTCATTCCTGATTAAATGAAAGCTTAAATCTTCTCTCAAGTCTTTCCAGCCTCATACTCACTTTATTGCTCTTTGATCTCTTTCTGCATGATAAAACTTAATTTGTGTATTTGGTTGCATGACTTTCTTGCTAACTTGTCTAATTTATTTTTTTTTAATGTTTGTTCTCCAGAGACACTTATCTTAATTTCTTAAAACATAACAAACAGCAGAACTAAATTGATTTAGATTTCATCCAAGGTAGAAGTTTATCTCCAAAGTTTGCATATTTATTTTATGAGGTAAGTTAAACTCTAGGCTTCAGGATGCAATAATCTCTAGTCTGTCATTCCACCATGTTTTTCCAGGTGTGGAATATTGACCTCTGCCATTAACAAAGAAGGTAGTGCTGGCTACAGTATGTCAGTGGTTTGGCTAATCTAGTAGTGCCAGTTTATTTCCTTAGGCAAGTAGGGATGTAGTGTGGTATAGATATGAGGAATGTACTTAACAGAAACATGTTTCTAGTTGCTTCTGTTGCAACACCGTGATGCTGACATTCTTTCTTTTATTCCCTGAACTAAAATGCCTTACCACTTTAAATCTTTGTGTTTGGTTTAGTTGGTTTTTTTTTGGTTTGATTTGGTTTGGTTTTTTTTACAACTTTCTACTTTTGAGATTCTAACATGAAGTTCTTGTTTCCCCTTCAGCAAATAAAGTTGTATCCTCTATATAATGTTTTAAGTGGGTAATTTTTGCAATATCCTTAGCAACTTATTTCGAGATATTGACTTTCCAGTTTTCCAGAATAATGTCCTTAATTAAAAAAAATAATTAGCAATAGTAATAAGAGAATTCCTCAACAATGTATTTGAGATTAAACTAAAGGTAAAGCTGATATTTGTGCTGCAGTGGTCCTTTCATAAGGCATTTGGATTTTCAGTGTGCCTATATAACAAAATTTCATTGTGTGTGTATGTAAGCAAAAATTCTTCCCATATCAAGTGAATCATGCACAGTCTTTTTTCCCCCTTATTTTTGTTGCATTTTTAAACTTATAAACTAGTGTATTGGCATTACAAAATACACGTGCAGTATTGCAGAATACTAGAACGTGATAGTTAAAAAGCTCAAAGAACCTTAAACCTTTCCAGTGGCAGTCGGACAAACCCTTGTGCAAACAGATAAGCCTGGGTCTGAGGGTCAACAAACTCATTTTGTCAGATCTGTTAAGTTAGCAAGTTGCAGAGAAGGTTTACCTTTTGTTAAAAACTCTATTTTACTTTTTGCTGCATTCTCTTAAATATAAATGATGCTTAAATTGATAGTTGTGTGCAGCCCCAGGCTTAAAATCCTTGTCAAGGGGTTTTGGCTGGAAGCTCTTTACTGGAGGGAAGAGCCATTATATTTCCACTCAAACAGGCTTTAGGTTTCAGTCCTAGTCCTTAGCAGGTATAAGTGGGTTTGGGAAACTAATGCTGAGGTTAGCCAGGGATAGGACCACTACTGACAAGCACTGTGGCTAAATAGGCGGGTACAGTCCCAACTCCAGAACATTTAAAATGAGAAAGGCTTCTCTTTTCAGTTTATTCTGAGACTGGTATATCTAGTGGTGTCACAGTTCTCTTTTGATTTAGGCATTCAGTATTCTTGCAGGTGTATAACTGATGAATATAATGTTTGTGCTAGGGGAAGTAAGGGAAATTGCTCGTAGACTCAATCACTGCCCCATTTTTTTCTTCCCTCCCTCTAAACTGTATGGAAATGCTTTCCTTCAGCTGGATACTAAAGTCAAGCAACCCCAACAAATGCAGTGAGAGAGCACCTCAATAATATCTGGTTGTGGAAGATAAGTCTGTTTAGTATTCAAAGCTTCTGTGTCCGTTATGTGCCAGCCACAGTGCCATGGTAGGAGCTTGGGTGGCACCACCTCATTTATTTGGCAAAATGATAAGGGCTGCAGTGGGGGGCTGTCAGTTTATCTTCTTCAAACCCGACAAGCAATTGTCATCAGCAGAGTTGTACGGGCTGGAAGAAGAAAGGAATGGAAGTCCTTAAACAGGGGTGGCTGTTGTAGCCTCAGCATTATGAAACTCTGTTTTACAGACATGTTAACAAATGCATACAGATATTAAACACACTGAAGCTTTTCACAAAATTGCCTCCAAATACACTGAGATGGCATTTCATTATAGTTGATACACAAATAAACCCCAGTGCAGATATTTTTGGTGACTCAACTGATTTTTTTTTTTAAAAATCATTGAATGTATCACTTCATAAATAAATATATTTTCTTACAAGATATGGTATTCTCTAAAGACTATTTATTTTAACTCTGCCCTTAAAGTACTTTTTATTCTCAAACTGGAGAAACTAGAGTGGTAGATGGCATTCTTTTACATACATCTCTCCTGGTGAAAGAAGTTGGGGCTCCCGCCCATTCCTGTGAGCTTCCTTGCTTCTTCCTGTCAGATTCAGTGTCTGAAATGAATATTTTCTTGATCCAAGAGGAGGGGATTTGAAGTCCTGCCTGGCACATGTGAATTTGAAGGCTTCCTACCCACAGCCTTAATTAGCTACTGAAGCTGGGTTGTTTCAGAAACATCAGCTTAAAGTGAATGCCATTTAGCTTTTGCAGAGGGAAATATGGCTTGACTACCAAGGGACATTGCCTGCTGTATGGGAAAAGCTATGCTATTGGTATGAGGGCCATGTGTTTGTAACTAAATAAACAAAACTAGTATCTTGGACTGAAATTTAATCTTGGAAGTTAGGAAAAAAGTAGCGGATGTTTCCTTGGAGAATTCATGCAAGGATGGGTTTGGGTCTGTATTTCACACAAAGTGGGGTAATGAAACTGTTTTTTTTCTATCAAGTAAATAATTGAAAGAATCAAGAACAAACCTAGAAACTCATATATCAGGAATGCATAATTCAGCACCTGGCTGTAAAATGTCCCTCTTATCTTCCCTTCAGCATCCTCCAAATCTTGTACTGCAGTTGTCTCAGATGAGACATGACCTGATTGCATCTCATGTAACCTGGTTTGAGTTCAGCTGATGTGGGGACCAGGAGCTGCATCACCCTCTCTGGAGTAGATGGTTATGATGTTCGCAGATCTTTACTCATGGAATGAACAAGCTCAGGTCATAAACTGATGTTACATCAGCTGAAGGCAGTGGGGATTAGGGAACATGCTGAGATGTGAATTGTTTCTTTGCACTGCCCAGCTGCTGAGCAGTGATTCGCAACTGGAGTGGTTGTGATCTGCCTGTGTCAGTGGAGGCAGCTGTTTCCCTCCCTCCCCACTCAGTTACGTTGTCATGAGCAAGGGGAGGCTGGAGAAACAGATTTTATCAGATTGGTTGAATAAGGTAAAGATTGTTTCTAGACTTCACGTTGTGTGTGTCTGTCATGGTTTAAGCCACAACAACGCAGTGTTTTGTTTGTACAGGGAACTGAGGATGCAGCAAATATAGCCATCTCTTACATTGCTCTGTATCAGAAAAGCCCCCAAATCCTTCAATGCTTTTGTTTTGAGACTTCCACTGTATTGATCTTACTGTGCGCTTTTATAACAAAGATATCTTTATTATGTTTATTTATATTTTTATTTATCTTTGTGTAGATGCTAAAAGCTTGAAATTAAAAAAAAAAAGACTGTTGATAATAATGACTAACAAACCCACATGTCCTTAGCTGCAGAGTTTGGTACTCAGCTTTTGGAGACTTTTTGCCCATTTTCAGACTTATTAGACCTTTGTTTCCAAATTTCTGAGGGTTCCTTTTGGACTGCATGTGGCTAAACCCAGAGCTAGCTCAAGGAAGGGTATTTTCCTCTTGGCAATGGTAGGCTATGTGCCAGAGTAAGAAGATATTTCCTGTCTTCTGATACTTACCACAGCAGTCCCCACCATTAGGCAGTTGTTAATGAAGATTTAGCAGAGGGTTTCTCTTAGAGCTTTTAAGGTGGAAGAGCCTAGAGTTGAGGGAGACCAGGAGATAAGGGATCCCTGTAAACTTAAAACTCTGGCATTTTTATTATTTCTTTGTTGTTTTGGGCTTTGCTAGTACCCACTTTATGTAACATCATGTGAGTTGAAATATTTGTCCACTAACTTGGAAGCCTTGCATTAAAAGACTTTACTCTGCAAAATGTGTTCCCAAAGGTAGGAGGTCAAACACACCCCACTGCTGAGCACTTGCCATTGGCTGGGTTTCAATGAATTGCAAGCTCAGCATGTGGAGTTTTTTGATCACTTTTGAGATATTGATTCTTTTTGCACACTGTATGAAGACTCTAGACCTTAAATTTTGGCTTCTTCTCTGGGTATTAAAAGGACCTGAAGTACACATCTACTTTATTGGCACCTAAAATGCTTAAGAATCTTACTTCTTGTAAGCATGGCTAGAAACTTAATCTATTGTAATTATTTTAAAAGATATGTAGAGCCCTTGTAAGTGTATGATTTGAACAGGATCGCAGTTACAGATATATTATATTATTTACCATCCTAATCTGGCTCTGCATACTTATTCCCCTAATTCCTCACAACTGTTCACTTTTTGGTTAGAAGGTACAAATTAAAAACTCCTATCACTGAGTTCTGATGGGAGTATACTGTAAATCTAGCTCAGGAGCTCAGTCTGCTCTTACTCCTGATCCTGATTTTTGCTTAATGGATGCTTCAGCCATTGAAATATGTTTGTAACCTAAGTAGATTCTGAGCCTTATCCTTAATTCATGGTTATTAGTTCACCTAAGTTTCTGCTTACTAAATTGAACTCTCAAATCAGCCTTTGCAAGTTGAAGGCAGATACTAACACTTAAACTTGGTTTTCATTGTGTCCTGTCATATGTGTATCTTTCCCAGCAAGAGCCTGGTGCTTGTGAATTCCAAGCAACTCGCTCCAAGTGAATTCCTTTTGTGGGCTATTGATTTCTGTAAATTTCACTTTTAAACAGAACTGTGTGATGTCAGGGCTTTTAATGTACAGGTTCTGTTGACTCTTCTTGAATGAGACATTTATTTAAACTGTTACCAAATAGCAGCATTTGATTAAATTGCATAAACCAAACAGAGCTTGTAATCTTGAGGCAAGAGTTTGTTCTTATGTCCTTCCTCTGTGTCCTCACTATGTGAAATTGTTTAAATAACCTTCCAAACAGTTAGTGACTTACTGAGTCATCTGGATCCTCACAAGTCTATGGAACCAGATGGGGTCCATCCTAGGGTAATGAGGGAGCTGGCAGAAGAGCTTGCCAAGCCGCTCTCCATCATCTTCCAACAATCCTGGCTCACTGGGGAGGTCCCATATGACTGGAAGTTGGCAAATATCACCCCAACCCATAAAAAAGGCTGCAAGGCCGACCCTGGTAACTACAGGCCTGTCAGCCTGACCTCGGTGGCTGGCAGAGTTATGGAGCAGATTATCCTGTGTGAAATCACACAGCAGCTACAGGATGGACAAGGGATCAGACATACCTGCATATGACTCTGTCCCTGACCAACTCTCTGTCCTTCCAGAGACCTGGTGTTAGATGGTTCGCTTTCTTTTGGATTGTAAGAAATCCTGCTAGTAGTATTCTTGGGCAAAAAAATGTATTAAATTACAGAGAAAAATTAAGACAGGATCTTACTGTAGCTTGTTTGGGACTGCAGAGGAGACTAATAGAGGAGCTAAGAACATGAACCTTACTATCTTGGTGCTGATAAATCAAATGTTTGCTTATCCTTAAGATGTTTTAAAGCAGTAAACTCCTTTCTACAGAAAGCTAATGAATTTTACACAGCACCCTAAAAGTTGATAAATGAAAGTTTTTAGAACTGGGTTTGACCAGCACAAGCCTCAGCGTTGAAGGACCCATCCTGGCCTGTATCAGGACCAGTGTGGTAACAGGTCCAGGGAAGTGATTCTGCCCCTGTACTCAGTGGTGATGAGGCCACACCTGGAGTACTGTGTCCAGTTCTGGGCCCCTCAGTTCAGGAAGGATATTGAGGTGCTGGAGCAGGTCCAGAGGAGAGCAACGAGGCTGGTGAAGGGACTGGGGCACAAGTCCTATGAGGAGAGGGTGAGGGAGCTGGGGTTGTTTAGTCTGGAGAAGAGAAGGCTTAGAGGCGACCTCATCACTCTCTTCAACTACCTGAAGAGAGGTTATAGCCAGGTGGGGGTTGGTCTCTTCTCCCAGGCAACCAACAATAGGACAAGGGGACATGGGCTCAAGCTCTGCCAGGGGAGGTTTAGGTTAGATGTTAGGGAGAAATTCTTTACAGAGAGGGTTATCAGGCATTGGAACGGCCTACCCAGAGAGGTGGTGGATTCACCATCCCTGGAGGTTTTTAAAAAGAGATTGGACGTGGCCCTTAGTACCATGATATAGTAATTGGAGTTGGATCAGAGGTTGGACTTGATGATCTTGGAGGTCTTTTCCAACCCAATCTATTCTATGATTCTATGATATAGATGGGGGAATTTAGTAGTAATGTTAATAAGGTAACTAACACAGTTTGACTCCTGTTAGCTTAGTCTTATCTAATAGATAGTTGAGATACAATACTTCACATATCTGATTCCGTAGTTTATAGCCTTTTATTGGTTGTCTGAATATGTAAATAAACCCCAAACCAAACAAAAACAAAAAAGGAGGGGGCGAAAAAAAGCCGAAAACAAGCAACAACCAAACCCAAACTGCCATTCTCCCCCAAAAAACAAAACAACAACAACAAAAAAAACCCACCACCCAAAACCTCACCAGTGTTGTTAGTACAGGCTATATCTGATGGAATACTTGCAACACAGTGACTGGTTATCCTTTATTCTCTGGCTTGGTGGAGGTAAAATAGGCAGCTGTGTGTGTATCTCTTGGCTGAGTCTACACAATACCTCTCAATACCAATCTTTGAGAAGATAGGTAATAAGAGATACTGCTTGGTTGCACAGCTTTCTCTAGCTGATTGGGAAATGTGACTACTCACATTTCTGTGTGACGAATAAGAATGTCATTCTAGTCTTAAAAGCATAACGAATATTTTTTCAAATGCACCAAGAGAGAAAGAAGCAGCATGGGTTTTTTTAAGTTGTTTACAAGAGGAAAAAGTTACTTTAGCACAAGGAAAGAAAATACAATTAATGACAATGGAAAAAGCATCACTTTGGGTCCACTGTATTAACCAGACCTGTATTTATCTTAAAGTATATTTCCTGACCTTCTGAAACCTCTTACTTTTTAGTGATGTGCTTAGAAA